CTAGAGGTTTTTAGCTTTAAATCTTGTAAATTTCTTCGTGCTTTTACGGAATATTACAAGATGTGTGAACACATTTTTGTACAAGGTCTTACATTGACTATAACTAACTGAATTAACTTTCTGAAAGTAATCGAAAGTGAAAACTCAGATACAACATAGTTCAACCGTACAGTAAAATTCGAATGGTATACGATCCAAATATGAATAATGAAAAGTGTAGATTAATGATGTTAAGATGAAAAATTGAATTCCTACTCTTATAGATTAATCTTTATGGGCCGAAAAGCTTAACTGATAAATCTAAACAGTAATTCATGAAGATATAGAAATGTTTGTTATTTTATAGTCAAACATTTTACTAGTTTTTTTGTTTGTTTTATTCAATTAACGTGTATAGTCGTTTTCAAATGATATTTTTCAATTAAATTGCTACTCATCAAAGCATAAAAAGCGATATCAAATGAGTCTGTTCTAGATGCATAAAACTGTCAAATAGAGACTAGTCACTTGTAATCCCTAACATTAACAACAAGAACATACAAAATTCTTATAAGAAACTTGTGCATTCTTCATTCGTTTGATTTTCCTCGAGTAATGAAGAGATTCCATTGTCGTCTTTTTATGACCATTTTTATGTAATAAGATATTATATGCTGAAAACACCTACTTTTATTACGTAAATAATTATAAATACAGAAATTACGAAATTTATTCCAGGACATGAAATTTGATCCACCATGTCAAAAGTTGGATAAACAAAATTGACATTGTCAGTGATTATTCATCAAAATGGTTATGACAGACTTTTTCATATATTATAAAGATTATAAGTGAATATATAAAGCATTAAGAAACAAGTATCTTCAACAAATAAAACCACTCAACAAATCCATAGTCTATGTCAAAACAAGAGGATATTTCTTATTTCTAGTGTGATAAAATATCACAAAGTTCGAATTACATTTATAAAGTATGGTTGTCTACGGTTGTGCGACACAGATCTTTGGATAGTAATCAATGTTGAATTTTATTCAATTTCTAGTGACAATTGTAGTCTACTGAGTAATAGGTAATTTGGATATGAATCTATGAAAAAGTAGCAATTTTTTTCAGAGTTTTAAGTTCGTTTTTATGATCAATGCCAACAGGACACAAAAGCTGAATCCAAACATATCTATGGGTTACTTTTAGTCGTTTAAGACCATATATATGCAGTTATAAATAACAAATATAAAACATAATTTTGTGAGAAAATATCTTATTTCAAAATAGTTTTATACTGGATTGTACTTGTCACCGTTTATTGTGGAAGGAATTTCCCTTTATCAACTATGTAGTTATTATTATAGATTAGGTATAAATGTAAACCTAATAGTGTTCTATCAGCTGTATATTGCTGTAACCAGTGTTATATGATGACTATGATTTTGTTCATACTGTGGTGTGTGCTACTTATATTGACATAAGTAGTTTTGGTGTTAGTCGTGAATAGAAGGTCTGGCATCAGAGAAACAAGAGGATCGAACAGTAAAGAATGGAAACAGAATGCGATTTGTATGAAAATGCAAGAACAATGAATTCTGAGTCATTTTGAGACAATTGGTGGACATTTTACAAATTAAGCATTTACTTTATGATTGTTGGATTTTATTAACAAGTCTTGTAATTTTGTGTTAAATACATTCAATTGTCCCCACTGGTGTTCTTGTTCATTACAATACTATGTAATTTAGATATGAAAAATTGCTGTGAAGTTTTATTCGTTTCGTATTAAATATATGAACATTTTTTGTGTAGTTTCAATTTAAACATATTAAAGAAACAATCCGTTCAAGTTGGTGAATCCAACGGAAATAAATTTCATCACTCATGACAACCCGATGATTAAACAAATCATATCAAAAAAAAAAAGAAAAATATTGATATAACATTTACCAACTTATATTGCTTAGAGTGTTGAAAAATTATCTAAGTGCTTGTCATGAGACAAATTATGGTGTAAATCTTTAACAGGTTTTACCTTAAAAAAACTGAATATTGTAAGTTAACACTAAATAAATGTTATAGCCTCTTGATCATGACTATGTTGTAATAATTTCCTGGATATGGTAAAATCACTGGGGAATAAAGATGATAAACAAGAAAGGTTTGTGTAAATTTATTTAACCCTTAAGTAAGATTATCAATCTGCACTGATTTATATGAATAGACCAAGGTTAATAAACACCTCCATTTTTCCTACAATTGTATAAAACAATATACAATTATTAGATGAGATTTATGAGTCGGAAATTTAAACGATATAAATAGAAAATAACTGGCAATACTAGTTATTGAATAAGATTTTACGTGCGTCAAAATCTGTAGGAATCTAAAAAGAATTACTTACAATTGAGCTGTGTTAATCTATCCTAGTATCGGTATGTACTATTTTAAAATTCTGACTTACCATAGCAGTACATTATATTCAAGGATGATAGTGTTATAATTATGGGTTATTAATATCAGTATGAGGATCTGCTGAAACATTTGTTTCACCTATATTCCATTAGGCATTTTATCAATGAAATATTACAAATTAAATAATATGTGATTGTAATAATTAAAATTTACACCAAGTAATATTGAAGGATTCTGTTTGTGGTCAATAATTGTTTTGAAAAAGTGCATAGAAACCTATAAATAATACTACTCTGAATACTACACATACTTAGTAGGAAATTAAATTTACATATGGATTAAATATGTGAATATTAACAATGAAAAAGTTTCGGATTAAGTTTTCTTTTCTTTCTTTCTTTATATATATATACATACTTGATTGCATTACACGCATGTATTAATTCAGCATTGTAAAAACAATTAGGAATTTCTCAATATGAACTTGAATAGTTCTAGATTAAGATTAACAAATTAAGTAAGAAGAGATAAATTAACTGTACATAGAAAAAACAATTGGGCAAAAGTGTGAATGATTTTGTGATGAAAATGAAATTAATAAATTTTACTCAATCGAAAGATATGATATACTTGTGTTTTTCTCTCCTTCTAACATACCCAAATAAAACATTTTGTAGAAATAACAAAATTCAGCAAGAGATTTATTGGTTTGGTTATGATTAACTTTCATAATGAGAATCAGTGAAGAATTATGTAATACGCACTTGATAATAGTGATATATATAAACGGCGGCATAACTATTTGGTAATATTTTATAAATGAACACTTTAGGCATTGTATAAAACACCGCTCATAACTAAATACGAGATTTAGTAGGATGTTTAATTATTATCTTCCTTATTTTAAATCTCATTGTTATAACACTACAAAAATTGATTTAAAATAAGTTTTTCCCAAAATAATAACAACATCCTTCATAACAAAATGAAAGACGCTGGAAGTTCATTAAAAGCAGAAAAAAATGAGCGGCTATTTTGTCCTAGTAACAAACTCATTAGCAGCAGATGGGCAAGAGCTCATTTGTGAATTAAATGAGGACCTTCAGATTTGCTAAAGAGTGTGGTATTTACAGGTTATTAAGTCAGAGTACAAATGGTATAGGCCTTTAAATTCACGATGCTACTTTTACTTCTCGTAATTTGTGATCAGAAATCGACAGGATATTTAGTTTTCATACGTTCGAATACATCTAGGGTTTTATTAAAATTCTGTTTTACAGACAATACATTGTTGTCAGTTTTCGCGAAATGAAAGGTTTTATAATTTCCAATGTTTTTTTGGCACCATTTATAAAAGAAGAGGAGAAACGCAAAGCACCCTCATCGATCAGGTTTCTTGAATCACGTGTACAGAATGCAAGAACAAATTTGAATAGAAAAAGCTCTAGATTACGTGTATTGTTTTACGATCTGTACTAGGGATGAAATTTCTACTGTAAAAGTTGAACTACTATGACAAAATAGTTAACAAACAGATTTTTGAATATTATAAAAATTGAAAATTTTGAATAGTTAATACCCTAAAAAAATTAACAAGCTAATGTCAAAATAATATTTATCATTGCTACTACAGATAGTCGATAGACGACAATATGCAAGAATAATGGCACTCGATAATCACCATTCGTAGAAAAAGTCGTTTAAGTCTAAACACTGATCGAAACTTCTTACAGAATGTTCTGTTGTTAAAGAAATTATAGTGTGTGGATAGACATGCATATGACTGTATTATATTTATCCATCCACACCTAGTTGAAACGTTAACTACTGTAGACCACTGGCTTAATAAATGAAATGAAACTTAGTTAAATATTATTTAAGCTTAGTAACTTAGTCAACACAGTACAGAGTTGGTTACTTTTGAATAAATTGCTTCAAGCCTTTAAATGCTATAAATATTCTTTTATTAAGATTCCCTTACTTTTATCTTCAGAAATATTTTAAAATGATTATGACTTATTAGGACACAGTGAGAAGTATGCTCTGATAAAATGTAATATCATTAGCAAACAAGTGAAGGGTGATACAATTACAGATTGAGTTCATCCAATGAGCTACTCAAAAAATCACAATGTACTACAACGATAATTTTCGGAAGCGTGAAAGACTGGATTTTGAATAATTGGTTCACAAGCAAAGTGCTCAAACTATCATAGAGCTTTTATGTTTTGATACAGTGTGTTCAATTGTCAGAGTTCACTCATGAGACGATCCAAACTAGGCCGAAACAACTGTTTCATGTGCTTTTTTCGGTGGTTTTCTAGATGACAACAATTTACAATGAAAACAGCATTCAGAGATCGAAGAATAATATCGATCAGTTTAATCTATTGTTAAACTCTTAGTAAGCAGACAATTATGAAGACATTTTAGTTATAAAGTACATTTAGCTAGCCATTATCAAACTATACATAAAAATATTTTTTGGTTTGATTTCAAAACAGGCTAGAAGTTTGCGTAATTGAGAAATTAACAGAAACAGTTTCAACACTGTGATATATATATATATATATATATATATATATATTCAAAAAACTTACTTTTCTTCAGACAAATTTGTGTTTTCTTTCCTAAGTGTTGATAAATAAGTTTCCCAAGGTGTACTACAAGTTTCCTATCACAAATAAATAGACAAAATCAGTGACATTAATTACAAACAATAATATTAATGAGATTTGTATGTTATTTTGAAAATAAGAGTCAAATATGTTCAGAATAAAGCTGTGTTAAATAAAAGCAACAAATGACTGATATTTAATTAGATTATCATATCAGGAAATTAATAAATTGTACAATCAGTTTAAAACTGAGCTTCAACAAATATAAAATCTTTCGGTTTAAAATATTTGAAATGGCACACAGTTCATGGAGATGCAAAATGAAAAACAAAACAGTTATGTTAACTCATTCATCACGTACCAAGATCTTTAATCAACTGCGCGTGACATTTTAGTTGTACAAGGATCAGTAAAATTTCCTTCTTTTGTCCACACTAAAATAGATGGAGTGGGGTTCAAAGCTGGAACCCAGCAGTGAAAAAGTAAGTGCTATATCTCCTTGATCATAGTAAGTGATATTCTGTTTTAGAACAAGCAATCCTTTTATTTTACTGATGTTACGCTGGACAAACTATTCGATATCAAGCAACATATTATTGGAGATAGATGAATGATTAGGTGGAATAAAATAGTTGTGTTCAAGTATTTTCTTGTTGGTAAGCATTAGAACTGAGATTATGTATGATTAAACATTTCCTATGGTCAAATCTAGTAGATCGAAAGATTGCTAATTCGACTTCCTAAAGCGTTTCGAAGTTCATATAAATCCATGACATTCAATAATGTGCCAAACTATGGAAATAATAAGACAGTAAGTTTACACACATGGTTAATTCAGTTACAAGAGTTCATAGATACTCTTATGGTTTTCTTTGCTTCTGCCATTCCACAAAAAATTTTAAAGCCGGTAATAATTTAAGACTTGGTTAATCAGATTGGGAAAGAATTGAAATACATGGGGTTGCTGAACAGTTGCCAAAAGCAACGATTTGTTTTAAGTGATTATATTTTTATCTAGTTTGTTAGGATTATGTAAGCGTGTTTATCATGGTAATTGAAAATTATCTGAGCAACCCATCTTCATTTGATGTTGTTCTTCTGTTTTTAATTGTTGGTTAAAGGGTGAACCAAAACATTATTTGTACAACATTTAACACAAATTAATTTTTGAGACCAAAGGACAGTAAAGGTATATGAATCGAGAACACTGAAAAAACAAACCTTTGCAAATGATGTTAATTATTTATTGAATTGGTTTAAGTATGAAGGCCTAATTTATGAGAATAATAAAATAGATTTGAACAAATAATTCCAATGAATGTGATGCCAAACACATGCTCATTTGTTTTTGGTACTTATATAGAGAACACAATGTAAGTAGTAATTAAATTGAAAAAGAGATCAAGTGTGAACAACAAAGTTACTGATGAGCATCATAACAAAAAGCTAATTTTATTGAGATCATGAACTGATCTAAGTTGAACAACCAATGGAAACACTGGTTAGCGGATTCATGCATGCACATTGCTGAAGAGCCCCATACTAGCGTGAAACAACTGTCTAATGCTTCTAGGCTTTTAGTGGTTGTTTAGCCTGTATTGGTTCGTAATACAAAAACACTTAGCACTCTCAATAACCCCATACCGATAAAGATCTAATTATAAAAACGCTTCTAGTACATAAAATTTGCTATTAAAAGTGAAATAAGGAAAACAGGAACTATATCAATTTGTTATAACTAGATAGAAACTCATAACAGTTTTGTATTTGCTACAAGCTTACAGAATGAAAGAAAATATAAAGTATGTTTATTCGTTAAGTAAATGAAAGATAACGTCATATCTCAACGTAATTACATCTTTTCATGATGACATAAACCGGAGAAATTCAATGACTTTTGCTAATAAGGACAGTCCTAAACATCAATGTGAAGATTCAAACAAACATTACATTTAAAAAGAGGGCATTAATGGAAATACTCCTTAATATAGAGACTTTGACGGATTACAACAGAAATGATGAGAAATTATGTAGAATTGTACAACTCAGTGAAGGTACATAATCAAGAATGTTGAAGATTTAGAAATGAGAAATAATTAATCATTAATTCTAACTTCGCATAGTCGTTCATGTATATCTGTTTTTATTGTATTAGTCTTCCATGATAGATATTGACTATTAAATTTGATTTCGTTCTGTATTTTTACTTTGGTTTTATCAAACGTTGTATAAAAAATATTCAGACTGATTACATTATCTATTTGTCCATCAGTAATTTGTCACTAGTAGTATGCATAGGGAGATTAAAACCATTAACACTACAGCAAAAATGAACTACACACAATAACTATGTGTATATGTTTCTATGTAAAAATTCAAGTATACACACGCATGTAAACTACGACATGGCAATTATGTTATGAAATAATAAATAATATTCCAGAAAAGTGTGATGCATTTAATTATGAATTCAAATAAACTCTTAAGTAACAAGAGGACAAACTCCAATGAAATCACACTTTATACTTATGTGTTTTACAAAGTGAACTGTAGAGATTGAAAGATAATATTTATATCAATCTGCAGTTAATTGAAGGAACACTGGATATTTGTTTTACTATAGTCCAAAACTAATCAACAATGAATATTAACGGCCTCCAATGCAAGAACTTCATATTTATTTTCTATACACGTATTAAATATAGTTAATAATTTAATCAAACTTATTGGTACAATTATTATTTTGCTATTCGCATGAGTTATTTATTCAACCAAATGATAATTTATTCGACGTTGATAATATCCAGATAAACAAAATGATAATTAAGACTTCCCGAATAATTATATTATTATTATTACTGTACATCAAAATAATCAATGTCTATTCTTATCAGAATGATCAATCAGTTGTTTTATTTATATGTTTAGAAATAAGGAGAGCATTATGGAACAAATATACCAAATCAGTTAATATATATCTCTGTCTACAGCTAATCTGGTATATATGTATAACCGTCAATCAAATACCGTTGGATTAATTATTAGTCAGTTTAGTAAGTAGAATGTGAATTTTTTTTAAACTGATCACGTGTTGTAAACAATAATCTTTTGAGATGTTCGTGTATGAACTAGAATGTACTCGAATCATATATCGTTACATTATTTATTACGATAAAAATAGACAATCTATCCTTTTATTTATTTGGAAAATTTTAGATATTCCAAGTTAATTTTCAATAGTATAGTCAAATATTTAGTTTACAACAAATCGAATTGTAATGGAACTGCCTCAACCAGTTTATGGGTTGCATAAGAAATAAAAGAAAGTAATCCATTTCCATAAAATTCATTATGGAAATGATTTTAGCCAGTAATTGTTATATATTTTATACTTAAATACTAAACCAAGCAGATGACGTGAAAAAAGAAAAATCTGCTCTTCATGTATTTTTTTCGTAAAAAGAACAAACACAAGAAAGCAACCCTATTTCTTATAATATATCAACAACTTGAAATCCACAAAGGTTATATCAATATAATGAAAAGGGTATATATGAATGAAATATATACCTTAATTTTAATAATGCAAAAAACTGTCGAAGTTTTCCTCCATTATGAGGTTGAAATGAATATCTAATTCTACGACTTATGGAACTTAGTACAAACAAATTGCATAAAGATATATTACCCATGGGCATAGTGGGAAAAAGAGGAATGTTATCATGTCAGATAACTTTTATAATATTCCCAAAAGCTATGCAGTTTGTTATAGATCTCCAAAGCACAACAAAACAATTTGTTAAAATATACGACTCCTGGTGTGAGCAAAACAAAATTCATAGCAGGGAGTATGGATTTAAGGTGCATAAAGGAATTATATTACGATATTTAGAGATTTAAACTATAGAGTTTAGAAAATGAAATTTAGGATATTCTTAGTACATTTGTTGTAAAAAAAAGTTCCAGGGAGAGCAATCTAAGATGTAAAACACAATATTGAATTAAAATATTTGATTGGTTTGGCAGACAGTTGAGTATACACAACAAGATATTGTATTGGTTAGTGCAGTTACTAGCCGCAGAACGACTACTCCGTTCCATCAAGTGACTTCGCATCAGCGCGAATCCACGGTCCCACTACGAATAAAACCACCGTCATTCATGCATTGAGGAGAGAACTCGACCTTTCAATCACTAAATTGGTATTTAACGGTTTACTTCTCTAATTTCAGTTAATTTGATCCATACTAGGATAACATAATAATTAACTAGTGCTATCTGATTTCAAATGGTTGTTGAACGAAAGTCAGAACACAGTATAAAAAAACTACAAAACTTAACAACCTTCAAAATCCCCTATACCGAAAAATGTATACATATTTATCATGGTGAAAAAAGACGAATAAATGAGTCACCAGACTGACTCGAAAGTATGGAGTATGAGCATCATTCAATCACTTTCCACTTAATATTTGTATACTTGGATTCTAATAAACAAACCTTTTTTGCCAAATACCATAGTAAGCAAATGAAATGCTGTATTCACACACATACATCATTCAGTTGTATAAACGTTATAAAAAATCACAAATACTTAAAACGCGGGTATTATTTGCAAAATTTAACTAAATTATAAATAATACTATTAAACTAAAACGTTGAAAACATTTTTAAAAACTAACCTCGATTTTCCTTAATACTGAAGAATAATTATACTGAACAGGTGGGATCATTTTTAATGTTTCTAAAGTATAATAAAATTCACTGAGGCCATAAAATTCCACTGAATTGAAGTCTGGATCCAATTGAACAACATTATTAATTGCACATGGTAGTGGAGAACAACTTTGATTTAAATTAAGTAAAGGTTCCACATTTTGCATACATTTATCCATATTACCCGTACCCTAGAAATTAAATGAATTTATAAATATTAAAAACAAAAGTTAGTTGGGATAAAAATTTCTGGGATAATAACAATTCTTAACCTCTCAACAAAGATATAACCATATATTCAATGATGACTTGGTTTCATAAAACTTACCGAAATTTACCAGAGTTATGACTGGTTGAGTCCACTTACGTTACGAATACAGACGTCATTTACCGGTGATATTGGATGGTTACTGAGCCAAATTACAAATTGACTAAAGTTGCAAATATGGATCACTGGATTCCAACTCATCAAGAGTAACAAATTTTAAATGTGCGATAACTTAATTTCATTATTGTTTTAATTATTGTACATATGAATATAGACTAATCCAATGTATAACATTAAATTATTAAATGCTTTAAATAAATACAAAGGATTGTGAATTTCGTGAAAAACATTCCCAATGTCCAAGGAAATAAAATACTAAATATAATCTGGATTCTATTTTGAATTCACGACCTGTAAATTCAGATATTTTCTATGAATGATATCAATACTAGAACAAAGGAATTGTGCTATCTATCAAGGAAATCTTCAGGTCTTTCGTTAGTGACCACCTGTGAAAACTAAATGTGGATCAAAAATACCATTTTTTTATTATTTAAGAGAAATGAACATAAGCTACATATATATACATACTTGGAAAATCTACGTGAAACGTGTAACCTACAAATTTTCATGGTCGGGTTTCAATAACGTAGGTTTTCCACAGAGGCCTCCTATTTCTCATTACACTAAAGAATGTTGCTAAGCATGATTCAACAAAAGATAGGACAGATTAACTGAATTCTTTATTCTGAAAAATGTTGTATATTCCAGTTATTCGGCTTCAGATTCATCGTATGATAATATTTATAGGGTCTAGTCTAATATTCCAAGAGTTACATCCTGAAAATATTTTTCAATACAGAGGTTTTAGTCATTCATAAAGTTAAACCAGAGTTCTGTGTAAAAAATCAGTTATTTTGTTCTCTTTTTGGTATAATTAAAGCACATGGATTCTTTTTGTGAAAACAAAATTCACTTGCATAATAAAAAATAACGTCAATCATAGATATTTAAATGAAACTACATGACTAATGTCTATTACATTCCATCAAATGTATAACTTCGGTAAACCTAAACCGAGTTATTTAGTTTTACCATGTCTTAATAATGATTACTTAGATGAGGAAAAACGTGCATTTTGTTTTGTTTCAGGCATTGACATCATATTTTGTGTTTGTATGTAAACAATACAGTAGTAGGAAAAACATGCTGATACCGTTGAAATTCTTAAGTTATTCTAATAATCACTTATGCTTTATCATACCTTAAATCATTTCAATAGTGTCCAAGGTTACTAGGCAACAGAAACTGACGTCAACATCATACGATATGAATATGCTTTGGATTTATCTCAATCTGTATGCTGAAAGTATTCTTTTATTATGCGACCATGCAGTCTGTGTATTTATTACTGCGAATGATTTAAACAATTTTCTACCTTTTAAAAAGCAATATAAACTTGTTTTAAAATATAATGAATAGATGCGCAAATGCTATCCCTTCATAAAGCTTACTGTAAACTGAACAGAAAAATTTTCACTCGCTGGTTCAAGCATCTCACCAATAACTGGACGAGGAGTAATTTCACTTATTACATTAAAACCTTCGAGTAAGCAAGGATCCTTTTGAAAGTAGAAAGAAAGTCGATATGTTATTCAGTGAGTTCAATTTTATTAAATTAAGCGAGAAATATAATGTAATACAGTTTTTAGGAATAAACTAATCATTCAAAATATCCAGTACTGGTGCAGATCAGAGAAGTCATCACTCATTATCATCAACAAAACAGATCTATCACTTACAAGTGCATCATAATCTTTTTTAATGGAGTTTCATCTCCTGGAGCGGATTGCTCGGTTGAGCTTTCATTATTCTTTTGAACAACATTATCAGCACAAACTTCAGGTAGACTCTCTACCTAATCAAACTATCGAGCTCAGAGAACGAAAACCCCAAAATCATCCACCTGGGCTAAAACTATTCACCATCTTAAGATCAGAATCTTACACCGGGTCTTTAGAAGTTATAACGAAGGTATGTGATATCGCAAAACAGCACCCTTCTCTCCCTCCTGGTTGGCAGCGACACCAAATGTAGTGAATGAGGACATAAGTGGGGACCATTGAATGTATTTGATTACAAAATTACAGAACATCTTAGTAAAATCTGTGAACCATACAGTAAATAGTTCATTTGCATAATGTCAATCAACCGTCTCAGACTTCAGTGTTCTTTCGTTTCTACACCAATAATTCTTTGTTCCCGTTCTCTTTTCTTTTATCTTCTTAACCTTCTGCCTCCAGGTATTTCACCTTCGACTGATGATACATACTACTTATATCTGTCAACATCGGTAGCACACACTATAATATAATTAGATATCAAAAGAGAAACCATTTGGTAAATAATTCAGATATTCTCACTCCCCGGTGTTAAACAAACGGATACTGGCAAAGCAGACAGATAAAAAGTAAAAAGTGAATTCTTTAAATGAATGATTTGACCAATAGAGTGACTAAGTTCGATAGAGACTAATTAGCTGTAAAGACGGAAAATGAACTCTCTTAGTTTGGAATGGAATTTAAGCCATATGTTTTGTGCAGGAGTTCGGGATACTAACTAGCCGCTAAAATGGATGTTAGAAGGGTGGCTTTCAAATCGAGAATTTTGTATCTGTTCATCTATTGTGTAGTTGTAATTAATTATTATGCATGGGATAGTCTGGCAAAATTCAGGAATTTTTTATTGCTGCATCGCTGTTATTTGACCTTAAAACCAATAGCTCGGGCATAAAAATACCCTAACATTTACTAACTAGATACATAGTATAATGTTCGATTACACACAGGGATGATAATATAAATGAAATATCAGAAAATAATTTACATTATTAACTGGATTCAGCCCTATAACCGTAGAAAACCAAGAAGCACCAGACAAATTTAATCCTAGTATGGGGCTTCCGAATTTTTTACTCATAATATTGTTAGAAAGATAACCAAGGGACTACAGATCGCATAATAAAGCAGATTAATAGACTTTGGGAGCATGGATCACTAGATATCAACTCAGAGTTTTGAAAACGATGCATTAGACACTTAGGGAATCTATGTGGGGTCATGGTTGCGCACAACCGATGTAACACAAACTAGAATAAAATAGATGTTCAGAGCTTGTTGATTTTAAAAATTGTCTAGTTGAAGTCAGATTGTTATATAGACTATCTTCGAACTGAACAATCTACATAAGTGTTGCATTATTAATGAGACGTTGTTCATGATACGGTCAATAAAATATCTCTTGTAAAGCTTGAACAATGTGTAATATAAAGAACGTTTATCATCATTTAGGTTAACAGAAATAAGAGAAAATGATAAATAGTTGCTATTGAAATGTGTATTTTTTTAAAAAGTTTATACTTTCTATATTGTTTTACTAAGTAGTATAGTTTTCCCCCACACATAACTAACTAAAGTACATTGACTCCTTTTTATACTTGTAGCTTTGGAAAGAATTAATAACACATGAAATATTAATAATTAGACAGTACTGGTTGTTTAGTCTGAATAAAATATATGTATTATGTGTTGAGTAATTAGCTAAATTCAACAGCACGAGCCATTTAATACCAGCACGTTCATAATGACGCATCTAAATAATCTTGTACAATGTGGTTAACCTTAAACCTTGTCGTCCATGTATTGCAACATCCATTACAAAAGAGTTCTGCTTCATTTTATATAATACACACATATAAATGGTATGTATGAACGTCGTTATTTTTAATTTACTAGTGACTGGAAAATATGAATTGACCTAATGAGTTAAAATCAGCTATGAATGAAAAAAAAAATTTAAAAAGTTCATTAATTAGAATGTTACCCTGTTTCTAATAATTCGATAGGTGTATTTAGTTTATACCACTTGATTTTCCAAACCACTCAATAATATAGAGTCAGTTTACTGATATTTTCTCTGTAAAGGAAGTTGTCAATAGTGGGCTATTGGTATATTCCTACGAAAGATGAACTCATGAAATCAATTTATGACCTTTATTAGGAAACGATAAAATTTAGCTCATTATATATGACCAATATGATTGTTATAATGGTGTCAGAAATGTGCAAACAAAAGTATTCCGTATAATTTATTTAAACAACTTCAGTATTTATCAATGCGATTCACAATTAACATGTTTTAAACTGATGTCTTAGCCGAGTCTATATTTAAAGGGACCTGCAATATGCAGTGTATCTTGATTCATCTAACTTGGAGGAGACAGAAGAAATTACCTCAAAAATCAATAAATCTCTATCAAACATCAATTAGTTAAGAGCATTATCGAATTCTAACTTGTTGGTATCTATTATGACAAAAAGCTAAAATCAATAGGTTGAAGATAAAGCACTTTGTAAGGTAGGTAATTTTTAAATTCAGTCAGATTTATGTAAATTAAATTTTGAAAATAGATTTTTAGTTTTCTGTCTAAAATATTGAAGAAATATTGTTGACAAAAAATACGGGGAATAAAAAAGTAACATTTTTTTTAAAAAAATATTGAATTCGGAAAATTTGTAAAGAAAATCCTTTTACATCTGTTGTCATCTTTAGTTTGTATTAATGATTTTTAACGCTTATCAATTATATAACAAAGATTAATTTGATTATTTTCATCAAATTTGTAACAGCTGGACAAAAAACAAACGAATAGATAAAATAAATAAACAAATGAAACCTAATTTCCAACTGGATTGATTTTTATGTTTTAACTACTGATTATCTACATTCGTTATATGTACACACATATTGTATATTACTTTCACAAGTCGAACTAGAAAATAGCTATTCAAACTAATCACTACTTTTATTTATTAAAGTTTCTATATATATATGTGTGTTTTTTAAATGTTTTTAAATTGCATCTAACATCTAGCAGGTTGAATAAATTGTATATTTCAAAATAATTGTGCACAGTTAACCGATAGGAATACAATATGATAAACAACACAGTAACATACAGACTGAAGTAATCATGCATCCAAGGAAATTAAAGCCAAGAGAAATTAACAAGAACAATGTATAAAGAGTAAAACACAAAGTAGGAAAAAGAGAAAATAAGAAGTGGTGGAAAATAAATACGTCTGTGAATTAGAACATAGTACAACTTATTTTCGTCACGTTTATGGATATCAAGGTGTTACATTTGATGCCTCTTGGTAGTTGGAGAAAAGAACAAACACAACACAAATCATGGAAAACAATGAAATTAATCTGTTTTGAAGCTTTTTATTGGATGCAAACAGCCCAAATGATCATTAGCTGCTTACAGCTAATTAAAAGCCTCGAAATAAAGTGAAGTCGTTCCTTACTTGTCGTGTTTCAGATTATTAAGAAAAGTATACATAAAAAGTTGATTTTGGCTAAATTTTAAGGCTTAATCATTTATGTTTTTGTTTGTAACCGCTGAATTACCTTACTGAAAATCTTATTGTTTCTTACCCTGTTTCTTATCCTCAAAATCGAAAAACTCTAGCTTAACTATGAATCTATATCAGAACACTTACGAGTTTAGGATCAATTCCAACATTTAAAATTTTTTGGAAGTCTTTAGTTAACTCAGTCACCCTTGCATTTTTACGTGATTTTGTTATTATTCTATTACCAACTAAAGATATTACATGTATGCTTAACGTTCGTGTTGTATTACATGAATAAATTTCGTGTCTTCTTGAATAAAACACGTTTATTTGAATACGTTACAAATAATATGTTTAATCTTACTGTTAAATAGATAAACTATGAGCTAATATTGCAACACTACAAAAGTATATGTAATTTCAATTGTGAATCAGGTGTTATGACTGATAAATTATTCAACATAGAACGTAACTGAGAAGTATAACTTATAAAAGTTATTAATAATATTAGTTTGTGGGTGAACGAATATTTCTGGTATTCGACCATCCATATATACTCTGATTTTTCGGATGGTCAGTGTCTGACAGGAACAATTACCAAAACCTTCCATGTTAATGATAACCATGTACTCACTAGTAACGTGTCTCAAAAAGAGTTCCAATGAGATATCAAAACCGGTGGAGTTAATTCATGTTGAGTGGAGGCAGGTATCATCAATGGAAATGGATGATAGTCTTGGAATATCCCAAACTAACTGAAATTGTAAATGTGAACTACTAGTTGGTGAATCAATCGCCTTGTAGTGAGGTGCTCGCCACGCGGCCTAACGGTTTTGATTTCGATTCCCTGCAGGGTCAGAGGCAGATATTACTAAGTAGTTTGAAACGAGGACAAAATGGTTGAACAACGGTTATCTAGCGACGACCAGTTCATAGTTTAACTACCTTCAAACTTTTAATTTGCTGGATTTTCAGAGGGAATAGGATTAATCACGAAATTATTCCTTCAATTACTCATTATAAGCAGCCATTCGAAGACTGACTAATCAAATATTGGAGTGTTACCTCAATACAGTAAAAGTTTCTCTACTAAAATTTTGATACCTACATCTGTAAAGAAGGCAACAGGCAAAATGAATATATGTCCATTGCGAGAAGTTACAAAATATTTACATAATACGTATACATAGTCTTCAATCGTTCCT